TGATCACAGGTGATGATTCTGAAGGCATTGCTAAGTTGAAGTTGTTTCTGCAGTATCGATTCCACACTAAAGACTTGGGTAAACTTAGGTATTTCTTGGGTATTGAAGTTGCTAGATCCAAGAAGGGTATAAGTTTCTCCCAACGAAAATATGTGGTGGACTTATTAGAAGAAACAGGTATGTTGGGTGGTCATCCGGTTGATGCTCCTATGGATTCAAATACAAAACTTGTGTCTGATGAGGGTGATCTATTTAATGACCCAGGCAGATTTCGTCGCCTTGTTGGGAAATTAATTTATCTCACTATCACTCGACCTGATATTTCATATGCAGTTAGTGTTGTAAGTCAGTTCATGGGAGCCCCTAGAATGCCACATTGGATTGCTGTTCTTCGGATTATCCGATATCTTAAGCAAGCTCCAGGTTATGGGTTACTATATAAATCAAATGGTCATCTCAGGGTGGAAGGTTTTACAGATGCCGACTGGGCTGGTTCTCCTTCAAATAGGAGATCTACTACAAGCTACTGCACATTTGTAGGAGGAAATCTTGTTACATGGCGAAGTAAAAAGCAAACGGTGGTAGCTCGATCTAGTGCTGAAGCCGAGTACAGGGCAATGGCCTATACCATTAGTGAGTTGACATGGATACAACATTTTCTAAAAGAACTTGGGTTGACAGTTGAAGCTCCTACTCCATTGTTCTATGATAATCAAGCAGTAGTTCACATTGCATCAAATCCCGTGTTTCATAAGAGGACCAAACATATTGAAGTTGATTGTCACTTCATTCGAGAAAAAATATTACGTGGGAGCATCTTTACTCTATTCGTGAAGTCTGAAGATGCATTAGCTGTTATGTTTACCAAAGCATTGGGTTATAACCGGTTAAGAACTATCTGTTCCAGGCTGGGATTATTTGATATATATTCTCCAGCTTGAGGGGGAGTGTTAGAATGTTTTATATATATATATATATATATGTTGGGTCATTATGTAATTACATATAGTTGGTAGGGCCCTTGTGGTATTAAGTAAGTCTTGTATCCTTTATATAAGCCTACATAGGCTTATTAGGGTTAGTGTGAAATTTACAATAGAAATCTCTCTCTCTCTCTCTCTCTCTCCCTCTCTCTCCCTCTCGTGATTTTGAACAAAGACCACACAAAATTTTCTTCAACCAGCATGTGTTCATATGTTGTCTTCTGTGGGAGAAGACAAAAGACCTGGAGGAATATGTTGATCTAACCATATCAATTGTTTTTATTTATATTTATATTGAGTTTATCCAAGAAGAGCTTCAAGGACACATGATTATCATCAAGGAAAGTAGATTAAAGTCATAAATGATTAGTGGGCACACAGTGAAAGGAATGCGAGTGATCTGAGGAACCTAAATGTTTCTGAAAATCTTTATTTTGTTTGAAAGTGTCTTCAAATATATTTTTTTAAAGGCTTTAAAGTGTTTCGAAATGAAAAAACAAAAAAATGTTTTTCTCAGACAAGAGCAAGTTTGAGTGGGAATAGACTCGATTCCCACATTGGGTGTTGAATTCAGTCAGAATTTGACTTTTCAACTTTTCTGGAGTCATGATCTTTTATGCTAAATTCCGAAAAAAAGTCTTTTATGCTTAGAATCTTAAGATAATCTTTAGCTTCAAACAATAGACTCAATAAGCTTCCCACATATATTCCTTGCTTAATTTTGAATTTGTTTGGCCCCTCAACTAAACCCGAAAAGACAGGTCTTGTGCGCACTCTTCTAAAGTGCTACAGGGCAAACCAGAGAGTAGTGTGCCAGTGAACTATAAGTCTGTACTGGTACATGCACTCCAAATAGTTCTGTACCCGTGAATTATTGCTCCTGTATCAGTATACCTTCTGCTAAAGCTAAAATCTGTTTCTTTGAGACCAAAAACACTTTCTTATTCAACCAAGACTCATCCAAAAATTTCAATTGATTTCAATGAGTTTTATGGGTTTGGAAAGGTTTCAAAACTCTAGATAATCATGCTTTGATTCACATATATATAAGATAGACTCATTAAAACAATATTAGGGTTTTTCACGTTATAACATTTTGAGTACACACTCTAAGATTTATTGTGTTTTTCTATCACACGCATAATCCATGCACAAGAGAAATGTGCGTGATAACTTAGGATTGTTGAGTAGCTTCTAAATTCTACATTGGAAGAACCTATTGGAAAGAAGCAGTTCCTCAAACAATTTTTTGACGCTGTGCAGAGAAGTTGAACAGACAATTTACTATTGAAGAAGGCGGGTTGTTGTGGAAATGTTTGCCTTGACAATTAGTGGCTAAACTCTAAGGAATAGGAGGAGTAAGTATGAGACATTCTTTTGCTGTTTTATTGTTTTACTCCCTGACCGTGCATGATTTGATTATTCAACCAGATTAAAATTAAGCTTGGTAATTATATAAGTTCAAATCAATCAAAAGAGGAAAATAGTATTCACCCTTCTCTAGGTCTACAAATCACCTCACGAATAATCAAAACCGCTTCTACAGTGCAATCACGGAATATGCATCTAAGCTTCCTCGTCCAAGTCTATCTAATGGAAAGCATCTGTTGCATCAAAGGAACATGTTGAATATATTACTTGAACTCAGGTATCATTCTCTTCTAGCGCGTTCTTTTTTTATCCCATGGCCTTTTTCCACTTAGGATATGCAATAAGTTCCTTCCAAATCTGAGGTAGAGATGCAGACAGATAAGAGACAAAAGCACGATTGGAAGGAGACAAGGAATTATATAAGGCAAGTTTAGAATTAGGGTGTTGGTACAAACCTGAACTCCCTTTTGAATGGATTCGTCACCTGAGGAAGAGAAGACCTGACATCACCTTATTTTGTCTAAGAACATATAAGTAATGAACCAGAAACTGGTAAGTCCTTATCCCGTTTTGTTTCAGGTGGATTTATCCATAAAATTGTGGTCCATTTAGTTTAAGATTGTCATTTCGATATGCTATTAGCCTGATGCCAAATCTCTATGGAGTGAGTTGGTGGTTGAACTGTTGACTGCCATGAACCTTTGAAAACACTCATTGGCTGGCAGATAAACCTACTTTATTGGTCATGCAGCTTAGACTTGTTCAACTGAGTAGCATTTTAAAATTATAAAAATAATAATGGGTCTCATACAGGGCCGGTCCTACCGTCCTGAGATCTTGAGAGGCCCTAGGCGAACTTTAAATGTGAGGCCCTCCATACATAAGTTTCATAGGCGCAATTTTTTTTTTTATAAAAGTGAAAAATTTTCATTAAAGTAAATGTGATCGTCTTGCATTTTGAGCTGCAAAATTATCAATTAAAATGCTCAAATCAACTTTCTGCAACACATCTTTTTCAATAGACAAGATAGCCAATCCATTAAATCTGAGCTGATATATATATATATACACACACACACACACATCGGGCCGGCTCGAGCCTTAGGAGAGTTAGGCGGTTGCCTAAGGCCCCAGCCAATAAGAAGGCCCCATAATTTTTTATTTCTCTATATATTATAACTTTCCTAAAACAATTATAGTATTTTCTTTAATTATTAAACTTCAACGTATAGAGAAATTTGACATATGACGTCAAAAATTTCTATTTTTTTTTTTTTTTTTTTTTGAGGCCCCCAATTTTTTTTTTTTCTTTATACATTATAACTTACCTAAATATTTTATTTTCTTATATCATTAAACCTCAACAAATACAAAATTTAATAGTGTGCGCAAAATATTTCTATCCTAGTATTATCTTATCTTATCTTTTTTTTTTTTTTTTTCCTTTTTCTCTCTCTCTCACATCCTCATTACATCAGCATATATACACACATTAAAATTAAATATTATATTGAGCCGCCCTATATATATATATATATATATATATATATATAAATTGGATCTAAATAATTGGAAGTTTTTGATCAAAATGATGCCAAATGGCTGTATAAAATGGTTAAAAAATCAGTACCCAAGAATGGCAAGGAGGCAAATTCTCCAAAGGAGAGAGAAATTGAATTAAGGAAGCAAAGTTTTCCTGCAATTAAAGATTCAAATAATTAATAATACATATTTAGTGTTAGTCAGTGCGTGTGTACGTGTTAGAAAAAGTAATGGGATGGGTGAGAGAGAGAGAGAGAGACCTGTGGAAAAAGAAGGGCAGGCAAAGGGCAAGAGAGGCGATGAAGACTTGGTAGCTGAGGCCTCTGGAAGTGGCTGCTTTGAAGAGTGTGCTTAGGCGATCATGGCGATGATGATGGATTGATGCAGATGCGAATCATGCGATGCGAGTTACAAACCCAAACCCCAAACTGCGATTTGCGAACTGAAAGTCTGGATTCTGAAACAGAGAGAGGGGAACAAAAGAGTGAAGACGATGATGATGTGATGTTTTCAATTTTCTGGGTTTTGAACTTTTGATTTTTGAGGAAAAAAACTTTTGATTGTTGCAGTTGTAGTCTTGCAGAGCAGAGAGAGAGAGAGAGAGATGGGTGGGGGGGGGGTAACCGGGTAAGCTTGAGAGTTGAGAGTCTGTTGAGATTCTTGAGAACGAGAGTTACGATAATGGAGATTGGCGGTTTAAATGATTTTTTTTTTTTTTTTTTGTGGCCCACCATTCATGGGCCTATAAATTTTGTAGCCCTTTAAAAAATTTGCTGCATCTGGTTACAAATTTTTTTTTTTTTTGGTGGCCCATCATGCATGGGCCTCAAAATTTCGAGGCCCCTTAAAATCTGAGGCCCTAGGCGACCGCCTTGGGCCAGGGTCGGCCCTGGTCTTATACTAAGTAACTAAAACAGTTTATTGTAATTAATTTTACTTAAAAATAAGTCAGGCTACTCTATATTTAGAACACTTCAGAGTATGTGGACCAATATTTAAAATTTTCAAAATCTTGAATTCCCCTGGCATATTATTAACACGTATTCTGTATGCAATGTATATGCACATTTGAATGCAAGTTTGACAATCTGATAGTATTTACAGGAGGAAGTAGGAAGAGATGAGGATGATAAAACAGAAGAACCTCTTCTACGTTCGCAGACTTACAACTCGTTTGGTGAAATTTCTGTTCTTTGCAACATTCCAGCACCTTATACCATTCGAGTTCGTGAATTATGTAGGCTACTGCGAATAGATAAACAGTCTTTCATAAACATCCTTGAGATATACTTCCATGATGGGCAGATTATTGTAAATAACCTTCTGGAGGTAAGTAAGTTTTTGTATTATTTTCCTCCAACTTGTAGCATCTCCTTCGCCCTCTCTCTCTCTCTCTCTCTCTTATTTTATTCATTCATTTTTTTTTTTTTTTGGGGGGGGGGAGGTGATTCACAAAAGGATCTTACGCAAAGCTTTGAATTTTCTGTTATCTGAATTTTTTAGTGTCACTTTTAACATTTCTCCAATCACCAGGGAAAAGAATCCAGTCTCCGGAACAAGCTGTTGGAGTCTGACATTACACTTAATATTGGAAAACATGAATCTGAGCTGGCTACAAGGTTGAATTGTGCTGCTTATGATGGAGACTTGTATCGACTAAAACTTTTGATTGGAGCTGGAGCAGATCCCAATAAAACAGATTATGATGGAAGATCACCTCTGGTATAAACTTTCAGGCGAAAAGTATTTTAATGTAGGGCAAAATTATTTTAATTCTACAACATACTCTTTCCTTGGAATCATCCCTCTCAAGTATATAAGTCGTGCCATTGAACTTTGAAAAATGTTGACAAAATCCTAAGAAAAGGAGTGTAAATTATCAACTAGATATATGTTCAGCAACCAATTCTGATTCAAGAGGCATGAAGAGAGACAGGAAAATGTTGGTTATTTCCTTATTTCATTTCCCCTTTCCTCTTATCCTAAATGAAAAAATGAGCTACAGTTCTCATGTCTTCATGACAGCGTAAATGATTTGATTTATGAACTTATCTGACAAGGTGACATATATATGAAATGTGTCACCTATCTTAGTTAATTTTCGAAGGCAGCAGCCCCTCCCACTTTTTAGCAAATGCTTTATATAGTTTTATTACTTATATGAGAAGTTTTAGTTTATTCTGGTTTTATTACTTATATGAGAGGTTGTAGTTTATTCTACTTTTATGAGGTTGTAGTTTATTCTATGCCATCATACAGTGTGTAAAGATTTTGTAAAGAACTTGCAGGAGATTTAGTTATGAAGGATCTGTCATGATTATCAAGTTTTTCTTGGTTTCATTATAAAAGCAGTGGAAATAATTTGAATAGTGGAATTCATTATATGGGAACTCAGTACCTCACATTCTCTTGGCAAACCAAGGTAGATTATCTCCTCTTGTGTCTCAATTAAGTTTCCTATGCCCAGAAAGATAGAAGACCTTGCAATGACAAGCTTATTAATTTGTTTAGTGCCTGGTAATTTATATTCTTCTTTTTTTTTTAAAAAAACTTTTTGTAGTCATCTTAATGACTTGTCAATGTCAACTTTTAACTAGATAAAACATTTACGATATAGCATATTTCGGCCCATTGTGTTTTATTCCACAAATTAACAAAACTAAGTTAAATGAGAGAAGTCTTGTCTTTCTATCTAAGGGGAAACCTCCAACAAATCCAACAAGAAACAAGCTCTTTACTTGTTTTGTGGCTGCTAGAAATGAATATTAGAATCTATTTATGATCAAAGCAACACACTTCTGCTACTTTAGACTGCACTAATGCTCTTGGTTAGGTCAACAATGTTCCAACAGTGGACTTCAGAATCTGCTGAACCAGCCATATGTAAACTTGTTTTTTTTTCTTGTTAGAAAAAATTATTATAGGAATTCTTAATTAAATTACTTGTTGACAGAATATTACTATGAGATTTGTTACCATATTTATATTTGACTTTCTATGTAATTCCTTTATTATAAAATACTTGAGAAGCAAAAATACTTGTAGACTAGCTACAAGTCTTTCTCATTTCACCTATAAATAGAGGTGATCATTGTATACAAAAAAATCAAGAGAGTATAATAAAGAAAGGTAGCTCTTTGGGCTTTGTGTGCGGTGGATGTAAACCCTAGTGATTGAACCACGTATATCCTTGTGTTCTTCATTTTTTTTTTTTTTTTTTCTCTCTTCAATTTTGACATGGTATTAGAGTATGTTTATCATACACCACTCTATACTCTACTTGTCTCGGATCTTCGGATCAACTTTTCTCGTCTCGGATCTTCAGATCAACTCGTCTCAGACTCTCAACAACTTCATATTTAGTTTCAAGTTGGACACTTGAGTTAAAATCTCTGTGTACCAACTTTGGGGGGGGGGGGGGGGGGGGGGGGGGGGGGTGTCGGAGATAAATATTATAGGAACACTTAATTAAATTACTCCTTGACAGAATATTGCCATGATATTTGTTGCCGTATTTGTATTTGACTTTTATATGTAATTCCTTTATTATAAAATAGTTGTAGAACAAGTACTTTCTATTCTCTAGCTACAAGTCTTTCTCATTTCACCTATAAATAGAGGTGATCATTGTATACAAAAATGAAGAGAGTATAATAAAGATAGGTAGCCCTTTGGGCTTTGTGTATCGTGGATGTAAGCCCTAGTGGCTGAACCACGTATATCCTTGTGTTCTTCATTTTCTATTTCTATCTTCAATTTTGACATTTCTAATACGTGTTATGCTCTCTCAAAGCATAAGTATAATTTAAATGTGAAAGTTCCTCATAATCAACTTTTCAACTGTTTCATATTTCTTTATTTAAAATTTTCAAGACATTCACACATTGCATGAAAAACGATTGTGATATTCATGCTTGTTAAGATCATTGCATGCATGAAACTCAGTTATAATGAGGTTTTGTTTTTTCTATTTCATTTGCTGGAGCTTGCTTGAAAGCTCAGATTGAATCTGTAAGCCTTTCATTAGCATTCTTGTTATTGAACTTTTAAGGATGGTTCAATATTTTTTCATTTTTGATAGGGAGATGGTGTTTGTCTGTTAATTTACCCTTAAAGTTCATCTTCATAGACAACATTTCTTTGTAGTCCTTATATCCTTTACGTCAGAGGAGATGCATAGATTCTTTTTTCTATTCAACCAACAACTTTATTTCCAACTTGCTTGCTTTTACCATGTTGTTACTTGAATGGAGGAAAAAGGAGAATTATAGGAGAATCTTTTAACATACAAAGATCTGCACGTCCTTATATACTTCACATGGTCACCATACAGGACGAGAAAATTTTGTACCATTGCCTATGAGCTTATTTTAATTGATATAGGTTTTATATAAATTGAGTTGTTTGCCAATCTTTTTGATCCTTCTGATTGTTGATTTTAGATGACTAGAAGACCTACCACATGATTGGATGATTTATTTATAACTGGTGAATCATCTTTTTGGTGCTCAAAGCCCTTCACAATTAGCCTAGCTTTGTATCTCTTGCTTTTCACCATCATTTATTTCAGATTACTCCAAAGGTTTCTTGGTGTTTTCTAGTCCTTTAGCAGTTTAACGGATCTGTATGCCTTTCATTATGCAAAGAAGTGATTTTCTTGCATTGACTTTCATTACTTTTCTTTTCTCTATTAACTCGAACGTTTGGAAACTTCGTGGCTATACCAATTATTTCGCATGATATATCACTAGGGAAGTGTATTACGACTTTTTGCTTGAGGTACCATATGCTTAACGAGGTTCTTCTTCATGACAACAATAGCAACAAGAGGACTCTCATCAATTACTTTTACCTTTTTCCACATATCATCATCATGTGGCTTTTGAGTAGGATCCAGGTCAGTGATATTACCTTCTAAAACCATGGTTTTTAGATCCTTTTGGTCTTTAATTGTTTGATCTTTATCTTCAGATGCTTTTATTTCTTTCATTCCCGATTTTTTAGCTGAACTATTTGTTCACATAGTCCAAAAAGTTACATGTTTGAATTGTTAAAGCTCTGATCCTTCTTCCTTGAGAATGTGAATATTTTATACAAGCAAAACAGTCAATGTTCACATGAAGCATATTTCATAGTCCATACCTATTCTATTATCCTCTATAAAACCATGTAGCTTATTATGTATATTGTCACAGGCTCACAACGCTAAAAGACTGTGATAGTAAGGACCGGAACCCAAGGCTCTGATGGAGAGTTGAATAAGGCCTGTGATCTAGACCTAGAGGAGGGGGTGAATAGGTCTTGTAGAACTAACTACCGAATTTACTACTTTTTGAATTTAAAACTAAATTACCAGAATTTAAATTCTGTTCATAGCAGAAAATAAAAATCACTCGATCTATAGCAGTAATAAGCAAATAATGCACTAACACAATGGTTGTAGAGACTTTTTATGTGGAAGCCCTGAGGGTAAAAACCCCAGGACCTAATCCAGGCAAACCAAAATCCACTATGAGAAAGAATATTACATCTAGGCTAAGAATTTCCCAATCCTAGAAATCCCTAGTTACCTCTTTCCACTCGTCAACAGACTTTGCTTCTCACCAATCTGCTCCTCCTTAATTGGTCTCTGCCACTAGTCGTCCATCCTCAATCTATGAAGATAGATTGAATGTGGTGTTGTACTCTTTAATCGAAGTTTGCTGCAATAGTTGTCAACAGACTCAACGCACAATTGAAAAACACTCATCAAAGCTAAGTATAATGAAAGCAAAGAAAAATAATGCTGCACTCTCTCAAAGATGCTCTCTCCATAAACATATAAGTTGTCTATTATTCTGCCCTAGTGTGATTGAAAACTGCTTTTTTGCAAAGCTCAATCAATCAAATTTTATGTCGATTCATCATAGTCTAATGTGGTGTAACCTGAGAAAAAAAAATTAATTCCGAAGTTTCCAAAATTCTTTAATGCATGTTTTGTAAGATTTAGGGAATCAAATAAGATCAAATCATGTAGAAATGGAAAACCTTAATTATGCACGCATGAACCCTAATTTTTATTTAGTGCATCAATGTGTTGAATGAATTACCTTTTTACCCTTGTAGACATAGAATACTGAATTACCCTTGACTGTAGCTTAGATTTCTTTCTTCGTCCTTGAGTAGGAGGTAATCGACTAGTTCTAACTATCTTTTGAAATTTATAGTCCAAACTAGAAATTAAATTAAAAGTTTCACTCCAGTTTTGTTCAATGGTATTTACCAACATAAGTCTTATTGACCTAACAGACTGGAACTTGGCAACTGAGAACACATGATGAACTTCATTGAAAATGGCATCATTTTTTTTCTTTTTCCCTTTCTCAATGCTATTGTGCGGAGGAGTAATGGTGTCTTTCTATGTCTAATGCCAATACGGAATAAAATGATCGTAATGAGAAATATTGGGCTTCAAATTACAGGGATGTCTATCCTTATGTCAGTATCAAAAGAATTTTTGAAAGATTAAAGTATTCCAGAGATGCTGGATACCTGTTATAGATGTCAAAATGTTTATCAATACTTATATATAGGTTTCGACAACCCCCCTCCCCCCCCCCCCCCCCGGTCAAGCCATTGGAGACATCAACAGGTTTATAATCTTATTTTCATGAAGCATCAACCTACTACAGTATCCAACAATACTCCCATCATTACACATATGAGGATCATTGAAAGCTCTTCTGATTTGTTGAATATATTCAAATACATTGTAATATAATTCATGGCTTGCATTTGGCTAAAAAAAATTTATGCTTGCAAAACCACTTCAGAGAGTTACATTGCCTTTTTCCCCCCTTTTTGATAAGTATTCAGAGTGTTACATTATGAACTTGTGCATGGTACAAATTATATCTTTGTTGGCATTATTGCGAAACAATTGGCATTATACTAATGCCTTTGGTGGCTTGGGCAGGCTTTCTTCTATAATCCCCAAGACTCAAAACAAACTACTAATTAGATGAAGTAAGAGTTTAATGAATACTAATAGAATTGAATTCCTGACATCTTTCACTTCATTTATTCTATAACGTGATGTGTTAAAGTTCCATATGAAATCATTCTTTTTTTCTCTTTCCGGTACAAATGAAAAAACCTAAGTACATTAAGGGAGCTTATACCAGAGTTTTTAGTTTATAAATCTTGTGCATTTTTTTAAAAACTAATGATGAAAACAGTTCTGTTGTGGCTTACTGGAACGAATCTTGTTCTATCTGCAGCATCTTGCTGCATCTAAAGGATATGAAGATATTACTCTGTTTCTTATCCACCAACAAGTACCTATAGACATTGTAGGTAAGCATTTTACATGTCCCATTGTGATGTTATTTGTCATGAATTGTGCAATACTTTTCCCATTTAAAATTTACTTTGGAAAATATATTTATTACCTCATGTTGATTAACCCAATAGATAAATTTGGAAACACTCCGTTGCTCGAAGCACTCAAGAATGGGCATGATCACGTGGCTTCTTTACTTGTCAAAGCAGGGGCATCATTGACTGTCGACGATGCTGGAAGTTGTCTCTGTATGGCTGTCGCAAAGAGGGATTTGGAATTCCTAAGAAGAGTTTTGGCCAATGGCATTAATCCCAACTCCAGAAATTACGATCTTCGAACACCACTTCATGTAGCTGCCTCAGAAGGGCTATATTCACATGCAAATTTATTATTACAAGCGGGGGCTAGTGTCTTTTCAAAGGATAGGTATCGTAATTATATAATGGGTATTTTTGTGCATATATATAAATAAATACCTATATGGCACATTGTTAATAATATATGGTTCTTGTAGTGATCCAAAAACTAGTTCTAAGAAGGTTCTGTAAGAACTTAGTGTGCCTATAAGTTTTTAAAATCTTTCTCCTACAATGAGGTCTGTGTGTTGGTTTTGTTAATTAAGATACAAAATTCATTATAGGTCTGTGTGTTGGTTTTGTTAATTAAGATACAAAATTCATTATATGTCTGTTTTTATTTGTGGCAGATCAACCTGCCCCGGAAAATTCCCAAAATTAATTGAAAGAATGCCTTTTTGATGGTTTAAGCATGAAGCTGCCTCAACAACTTTTCTCTATTCATAGTTATTTACTTGTAATATCTTCTTATTATATAAATTAGAACTTATATTCACTACGGTTCCTCTTTTCTTTCCTTTTAACCATCATTTTGCCCTAATACTAACAACACGAACATTAAGACATCATTTATATTATTTTTCACTTTTTCTTTTCATTCATATATGAAGCTTTCTACATACAATTAATTAGATTGATGGCAGCATTCTGACATCTGCACATAGACACATACATTTACTGATACAGATCATTTGTGTAATAATAATAATGATAATAATAATGATAAATAAAGTTGTGAATGTGTGTCAAAATTATTTAAGCATCCATATATAATTTGTTGAAAATTTGTAGGAGAACCTGAAAGTGAAAGAGAAAGAAAAGATAAATTCACCATATGCATGCATAGAATTAAAAGAATGAACTCAATTTATGAGCACATGTTTATGCCTATACATGCATAGTTGTTCAAAAAGCTTAACCTTTACTTGGCCATTGTTGCAGATGGGGAAATACTCCAATTGATGAAGCTCGAGTAGGTGGAAATAAGAATCTAGTAAAGCTACTGGAAGATGCAAAATGTGCCCAGTTGTCAGAATTTTCTGATTGCTTTGAAGGAATTCAAGGTAACACCAAAATTTTTCTTTTATATACTTTCAAAAGTTGGGTATTATTTGAATATCATTCTCAGGATAAGCTTCAGTTGCATTTAAAAGGATTTAGAATGGATGATATTCTGTTATCTTAATACCTTGTCCTTTCAAGGAAAAAAGTGGAAAAAAAGTGATTCCGTGCTTCCATAGTATAGAGAAACAAAAATTTGCTTAAGAAACGATGTTTGTATTAGATGTAAAAGGTCTTGTTGGTGCTCTTCTAAAATGTTCTGTGATTTCATTTCCATTAGTTTAACAGTACATTATCGAAAGTCCTTTTGTCTTTCTTTTAGTACCTCATTATATTCTTATTTCCATTATAATATCTTCAGTGACTTCTGCAATATCCACTTATTTATTGGCTCTCATAAAGGAACATGCGCCATAGAGCCATTTTCTCTCTTCATTTTCAATCCTGCTACACCATGTGTATAAACAACATTTCTTCTTCAAATCATTTTACTTACACATTACACGCAATTTCTACTGCAAGAGTTAATCAACTCTTCTATCACTGTATAATGGATGCTTTATAGTGGTCTGTATGTGTGAAACGTGAGCATAAGTGACCATGAAACAAAACATGATTCACACACTGATCTTTTCTATGTAGGATGCTTGTTTAGTTGTCTGTATGTATACAACATGAGCATCGTGACTGTGAGATGGCACATGGTGTTCCTGTTCATAAATGAGATGTACACAATGATCTTCTCTACGCTTGATTCCACCAAATTTCCTATTTGAGCTGGTCCACTGAAACAATAATACGTAATCATGCTCGTAGAACAACCAACTGGTTATTGAATCTTGTAAGCCATATTATTGCTTTCAGTTATCTAGAGTCCACACTAAGCTAACTGGACACAGATGTCTACAACCTATGGGTGAGGATAGAAAAAATCATTTAGTGAGTTGGACATCCGTTTCTGTCCTGAGAAAAATGCTAGGCACTGGCCTGGGTGATATGAATTCTAGGAACAAGTATGAAAGAAAATTAGGGTTTTCCTCTTGTAGGAAAATAGTTGTATAAATTGCCTAGATAGCAGGATTCTCTTTGCATCTGGTTGTCTGAAGCAAGTGCAGGATCTGTCTAATGTTCAGAAGCTTTTATTTATTTATTTATTATTATTATTATTATTCTTCGATCCTGGCAAATAAGACACGCACCAACTTGCCCCTATGTGGACTTGAACCCTCGACCTTACACTTTGGAAGGCGAGAAAGTACAAGTACCACTAGGCTACAGCCTTCGGTGCTCAGAACTCCAACTTAGCTACTGACTAACATGTGCATATATATATACATAACAGCAATTATCGACCAGATCTTGTGTTGACATTATTGTATCATTGCCCTGGTTTTTCCGGAAAGTTCTTTATTTTTTCTTTTCGTCGGCTTGCAAAAGGTAATTTATATATTTTGAACAACTCAATAAAATGTTTGTCCTTACTGCTTAGGTTTGGCTACAAGAACCTGGTTCACCATTTTATTCCATCTAAAGTCTATAACAACCCTCACCCTATCCACACACAATATTATCTGCTTTTGGCTCCCTCGACTAGAGACCCCATCTTGATACTACTCCAAGTTAAGCACGCTTAACTCCGGAGTTCTGGTAAGTTCACGTCCATTACAGCTTTAAAATGCGTTGTGTCATAGAAGGGTGTAGAATCTACATATAGCACTTTACCTTCCCCAGGCGATGTGGGATCATGACACCCTGTAGTCTACTAGTGCTTGCCCACACCACACCCGTTCACAGAGGTCGTCACAATCACCCCCCATGGGGCCCAGCGTTCTCGTTGGCCACACTTCCGGTTTGGTTTCGGCTCTGTTACCATTTGTAACAGCCCTCACCTGTGACGACCTTTGTGGGCGGGTGTGATGTGGGCGAGCACTGGCATGCTACAGGGTGTCATGATCACACATCACCTGGGGAAAATGAAGTGCTATATGTAGGTTTTACACCCTTCTATGACACAATGCATTTTAAAGTTGTGATGGATGTGAACCTATCAGAATTTTAAAGTTAATAGTGCTTACTTTGGAGTAGTACTAGGATGAGTGACCTCCTGGGAAGTCTTTGGTCTGGGGGAGCCAAAAGCGGACAATATTGTGTCTGGATAGGGTGATGTGACAACTTCTACTAAAATTATAACGCAATACGTCGTGGACAATATTGTGTCTGGGTAGGGTGATGTAACAAGTGTTTGGGTACGGTGATGTAACAACTTCCACTAAAATTATAACGCAATCCGTCTCAGGAACTGACTTCCTTTTTGTCTTCTCATCCTAAATGCTTAACCTGATTCACTATTTTATTCCTTCTAAAGCCGTCTTCCTCTTAATTTATAACACAATAAGTCTCTTTTCATTCTTGTACCAGTTTTCCGCAATGCTGAATTTATCGACCTATATTGCTCATGAAAAAATTATGATTACTAATCTCTAATGTTGTCCTTAATTAGTATTAACTTACCTCACAAATGTGTTGACCTCTAATTTTCACATTCTATTATTGCCTCTCAATTATTTCAATTGCCGTAGTTTAACCATTCTGTTTTATTTTATTTTATTTATTTATATTTTAAGGTAGTAGCCATTCCGTTTTTCTAAAAATTATTGTTAAAAACTTTTAAACTATTAACAATGCCTGATCTTTTAGCTATTCTACAGTACGTTCCTATATATGCTAATTGTACATTACTCTGATGCAGTAGAGAAGTATAACATTCACTCATATTTAGCTCTTGGTCTCTTTAACTACTTCCTCGATTTGGGTGACATTCTTTTCAAGCCTCATATACATAAGCAATCGGTAGAGAAGTATAACATTCACACACATGGGCTTTGGCAAAATCTCTCTCTCCTTCTATATATATGTGTGTTTATGTTGTATGAGTGCATGCTGAGCAAATCACATTTTTGCTTCCATCAATAGATAAAATGCGGCAAAGAAAATGCACGGTGTTCCCCTTCAACCCATGGGATCACAACAAAAAGGAGAGAACACAAGGAGTTGTGCTATGGGTTCCACAAAGCATTGAAGAGCTCATTGTGGCAGCAACAGAGCAATTAAAATTTTCAGGTGCTTCATGTATTCTATCAGAAAATGGGGGTAAGATTCTAGATGTGCACATGATTTCTGATGATCAAAATCTGTTTTTGGCGAGTGAAGAACGATAAAGGTAAATGGGGTGGTGCCTCATGTACTTAGTAAGTTATGAATATTAAGACTCCTATAGTTTGTTGTCTCAGATTTAACATGTATAAGTGAGCAATGCTCCTCCTTGTTTAGGGTTTGTGTATTTCAATTCAATTTGCTATGGAATACGAATAAACTGAACCGAAAAACCAAACAATAAAGAACAAGAAAAGATTGGCAAAATTTTCAATCTTGTGCTCAAATATTTAATCATATGTGTATGTGTACCAATTTGGTAATGAATTGCCTTTGGGCTATTTGTTTTTCATTCTTGATTTGTGGATGTGTTCTTTCTTTGATTTTGGGTATGCCCCATGTAACTCTCTAATGGATTTGATTCAGTAGCATAATTCTACTTGCTCATTTTAGGAAAAAATTAATTAGTGGGAAAGACTACCGAAAACTAGTTTTCGATTAACTGAAGAGTACAATTACTAATTTATCCTTATTTTTTAATTTATTATAAAAAATCAAAATATATGCTATTATGAAATTACCACTTTGCCCATATCTTCTTTCCCAATTCATTTTTGTTTTCCTTTCTTCTTCATAATGTTGTCAAAGAAGTAATACCACAGTGGCTGCCGACTTTCCTTTCCTTCGGCGAGATTGGATTTGGGTTTTGCTGGGATTGGAGATACTCCGATGATTAAACAAAAGAAGGGAAAAAAAGGTGAAAAGTGGGTGAAGGTCAGGTTTTGCAGAAGAGAGACAGTTCCTCTATAGCGGCGCTGCAGAAGCGAGCAAAGATGACATTGGCGAGCACTGTCTGAACGTACGACGATGAAGTGTTCGGCAGTCAAGCGGCGGCGGCAGAAGACGACTACAAACAGCAGCAAGAAGACGCGATTTGCGATTCTGAGATTCCTCCGGCACATCCCAGAAATGATGTGCTCCACTGGGACGAGGGGAAAAAAATAAACACAAAAAACAAGATCACTTTCCTTGATGTTGTAAATTCTGTGATGCACTCAATTTTTGCGTCAATAATGGCTTGTAGTTTTTGCCTCACTTTATTTAAAATATCATACTTTGGACATCATGAAAAGATGTTTAAATCACGTATCTATATTAGAATTTGAGGTGAATTATCTTTTCAATTATCTTCTACATTTCTTTCTTGTTTCCAACATCTTAAAGAATCTCAGAACAATAAATCTGTGATGTTTTTTATATGATCAGTTTTCACACTATAGCAACTGGATGATGATGTGCTAACATCTGGATGGCAATGGTGGGTGGCGGCAGAAGGAAGTGAGAGAGGGGAAAAAAAAATGGTACGAAAAAAAAAAGAAAAGAAAAGAAGATTTGGGAAAGAAGATATGGGCAAAGTGGTCATTTCATAATAGCATATATTTTGATTTTTTATAATAAATTAAAAAGTAAGGGTAAATTAGTAATTGTGCTCTTCAGTTGGTCGGAAACTAGTTTCTGGTGGTTTTTAAGAGGGCATTTTGCTTACTTTTGATAGTTCAAGGGAACAACTTGTTTCCAAAAATAATTCAGATGTGCATTATGCAACAATGAGATAATTTGAAGGGGGTTTTTTGCTCTTTTGCCAAAAAAACAATTCAAGAGGTTATTTTGCAACTTTATCATGGTTTATGAAGGTTTTTTTGCACTTTTGTCGAAGAAAAACAAAAAAGGAGAATAAGAGAAAGAGAGGAAGGAGTGATCGGAAATTGGTGGCATGAGTAGAGTCGAAAGAGTAATGATACGAAACCAACAATGGGACACATCCGACTAACTAAGTTTATGTAAGTAGGACTACTTTGTTTGTTTTTTTATTTTATTTTATTTTTATTTTTTATATTGAAAAATTCTAAAAAATCCTATTCCTTTCCCATCAGCTGTAGGATTAGAAGTTTTTGATCCTTGTCATTAATTTCTTAACAGGAGTTTCTAGAATTAAAAACCCTACCTCTTTGCCCATCATTTGCTGTAGGACTAAAATTTCTTGGAATAATTACCAATACATGGACCTATGAACCTGATATATATTACACAGACTTGGTCATATTTTAAAAAGGGTACGAGCATGGAGTTTTACTATCAATTTTACAAATACATGGACAAAATTCTTATTTTTGACCACAACTTATAATGTCACAATGATCCAAAACACAATTATAACAATAGAAAACCTTTTAAAACATAAAACCACAAAATAAATGGTGAGAAGCAGCATCTAACCTAAGATAGATTAGGCATTTATATGCTAAATCTATAATAGGACAAGTCACCAGCCATAACAAAACAATCCCTTAAAACCTATAGGCCTGAAAATAACATTCATTTACATGTATGCGACACAAATAAACTGTATTTACTATGTGATGAAATTATGGAGTATTCTAAGAGGTCTAACATTGTCATTATCAAACTAAGGGGACTCCAATGATTAGACTTTTCCAATGCAAATAAAATAACGACTAAAACCAAATTCGAGATATGGATCACAAATATATTATCGACAAGTTAAGAAGAACCAACACCGATAATCTATGGACACACCTAGATATGTGTTCGACACTTCAAGGCTGTGTCCATTATTTAAAAATAATTTTATTATTTCGGACACTTGGTTGACACATCTTGAATACTTGATCGACGCATCTTGAATTCTTGGTCAACACATTCCGAACACTCGACTAACATATCCTACACTATTTATCTTAATATAAAACAAATTGACGACAATGTTGAAAACAATATTAAGATATACATCAAAGTGTTCAACCTCTAAAGAACAAACACATAACTATAATAACACGATAGGGACTATTAATGCATGGAACAAGCATCCACTCAAAACCTCGCCGCTTCGCATAGCCATTTCAAATCCTTGTTCTTCGCAATGCTCACACTCTTACTCGCTGTTGATTCTCGAGTCATTGACATTTCAGAAATGGAATATCTATGGCCATTAAATGGAGGAAGAGATCAAAATTAACATGTTAAGCCGAAGGTAGAAGAAAAAAGAAAATTATTCTACCATGAAAGAGCCAAACCAAGTACTAATAGCTCAAGATTACAAAAGGGTCTTGACATAATATATCTTATATATATATATATATATATATAGACACAACACACATGTTCCAATTCAAAGAGAGAGAAAAAAAAAAAGATCCAATTCAAAGTTCTAATTATTATTATTTGAAATATATAATCAATATAAATGGGGATGGAAAAAAGTAATTGATATGATTCAATACTCATCTGAATGGCTTAATATATCTTATCTATATATAGACACAACACACATGATCCAATTCAAACAGAGAGAAAAAAATGATCCAATTCAAAGTTCTAGATATGATTCAATACTCATCTGAATGGCTTAATATATCTTATATATATATATAGACACAACACACATGATCCAATTCAAAGAGAGAGAAAAAATGATCCAATTCAAAGTTCTAGTTATTATTATTAATTGAGACATATAATCAACATACGTGGGGATGGAATAAAGTAATTGATATGATTCAATACTCATCTGAATGGCTTGCAAGTACCATTTGAATAGACTTTCAAATGTATATCCGAGTAAGTTTAACTTTAGGGTTTCAGGTAGCAATGGCTTCATTGAGAGCGATGATCATTTTTTCAAATTTTATTATTATTATTATTATTATTATTTTTGTAAGTGTAAAGAACGAATAATTTGCTAATGGAAGTGACTTAAGACACACCTTTTAGTCATGAGCGAGAGTGTAAAATCCTGCAATATTGCAATATATGAGCCTATATTTTTGAGATTTCCTGTATTGCCAAGTTCATATTGTGTTGTACTCATGTCCTGTGTAGATCCTGTTGGGAAAATATGTCCTACAAGTCAATTATTTATTATTTATTCGATATTTTATTAATAAATGTGATATTCATGCATTGGGCTTTACATATATCTGTATGAGATGCATTATAGTCCTCAAGTTGAATTATAGGTGACTTAAGTGCGTAAATGAGATTTATACGCAGGAGATTTGGATTCACCGATTTCTTGTACCTTGGCATTGTTTGCAGTCAATGATAAAAGTTGGGCACTTTTATATGTAAGACTGTAACACACTTGACCTCTATAAGATAGGATGGTTTGTCTCTACCATTGGGGTAGTTGACTCTAAGGTAGTGTGTTAGTGTGCTTGGAGCATATTGAACTGGATCACCATAAGATCACACCATACAAATTACGTACTGTTATTATTTTGGTGTAATTCTTATTCACTAAATACATTAAGCTCTAAATCCTGAGAGGTTTAATGGACTCAAGTTTCAGTATTGGTCACTTTGACTTACTAACGTGTGAGATCTTGTAAGGTCAATACTACGGTATCTTGGGTGGCTAATATTGGAGCTCTGGGAATACAAATGTTCAACATGGAATCCACACTCATTATATGAGTTAGAATATCCCCTTGATGCAATTTAATAAGTTTGATCACTGGAACCTGATCAGGGCATTTTAGTAAAATGTTTACTAAATTATTTTTTGATTATTTATTTAGAAAAATATTTATTTTGAAAGATCTTTTTATAAAAAAATTTATTTCAGTGATCATAAGGATTAAGTTGGTTACTCAAGGAATATAAAATATAAGTAAGCCTTAGGAGGGACAATATTCATTTTCCTTGGGGCTACTTATGTATATTCGATAGTGGAAGGACTTATATGTAGTTATTTAGTATGACAGGGCCTTGTTGTAATTTTTGAATCCTAGAGTGCAATTACAATATTATTGTGGTGCTTATTGTAATTAATTAGATAGGATAGAGTTATGACTCTATCTCTATCTAATTGGAGCTAGGATAAGAATCCATTTTAATCCTCATCTCTAGCCTTATCTATATACATGTACGATATATCTCTCTGATTCGATTTTTTTCACGCAAAGACCTAGAGAATATAGAATAATCGAAAGTGAGAGTTATAGGTTTCCACAAACCTGTGTATTCCGGGGATATAAAGGTGAAGGTTCACTGGAGTTCAAGGCCTAAAAGAGGGCTAATCAAATTCACTGTTTTTCTCGGAATGTTGACGATTAATCAATCGTCCAAAGGTATGAAATCCCTCTCAGTATTTCTTGATTTAATGAAATATCACGTGGATATGATCCTGAAAATTTTAAATCGCTTCCGTTGTGCCTTCAGATCCATATTTGTGCTTGCAAAATGGAAGAGTTGTATATGATGGATTTTCCGTCTATATTACAGAAGGAACAAATAAAAAATTCTGTCTTAAATGATGTTTAAGTCGCCATAAAATGAAATTTTTCAACAAAATATTATCCAACGCAATGTGGGGAAAAAAATTGCAGTCATCTAATCGAAGATATTGCCCTTATCATAACAAAGTTTTATGAAATAGTAGCTGGATGTATTGACGTGTTTATTATAGTTGCTATATATGGAAGAAGTTTATGTTTCAAGGGCTTCTTAACTTGATTCAAAGGAAATTATCTGCATGCTCCTTAAATCTTTTGCATGATTTTTAAAATAGGCTAAATTACAATAACCGTCCTTAGATTTGATACTTCTTTCATCTCAAAATATTTAGGTTTGTGAGTCACAGTTTCCAAAGTGTCCAAGTATTTTAGTAAGGAGGGAGTATAATTTTATGGATTTCTCTCTTATTTGAAAAAGGATACTGTACTTTTCTTGTAATACCTAATTTTTTTAACATATTTTCCTCTCCATTAATAGTTGAACATGATTCAACAACGATTCCGAAATATTAAGAAAACTAATTTTGCCCTTGTAATTATTGTATTCAATTTAAAACTACAACTAGATTTTATGGGCAAAATGGTAAAATTGAATACTTCATTAAGGGGAGGGGAGGGGATGGATGTGTCACATAAACAAGAAGGGTAGGTGGTGGTGGTGGAAGTGGTGGAAGGCGGTGGCGGTGACAGTGGCGGTGGTTGTGGTAAAAGGTGGTGGCGGTGTGGTGGTGGAAAGCGGTGAGGAGTGGTGAAAGTTTGTGGCGATGGTGGTAGTGGAAGGCGGTGGTAGTGCTAGAAGTCGATGGCTGTGGTGAAAGGCGGATGTGGTTGTGATGGAAGGTAGTGGTGGTTTTTGAACTTGAAACATGAGAGTTTTTTTGGGAAGTTAATTTAAAAAAAAAAAAAAAAAAATTACTTGGGAATGAAATGACCATTCTATAGGTTTAGTTGTGGAATTAGATTTTCATTCTCAGGAATGGATTTTCATTCCAATGGAATGACCATTCCCACTTTATTTTGCTTACTA